CGGTGCTAAATTATGTGAAAGATATTCGATTTCGCAAAGTGGCCTATAGTTCGAAGTTGAACCTACCTAAACACATAGAAACATCGCCACGCGGCAGCCACACGACCTGTTTTTGGAAACCTGGAGGTATTTGGCCATAGAACAGCTTCTAGAAACCATGACAGACATGCCGTTGACAGTCGTTATATTCTTCACTACTGCTGGTCAGACCGTATAGCGACTGTTGGACGGCGAATAATCATGCCACTGCCTGTTGTCAGACACCAATTTAAACTTACTGTTTATCCAAACGGTGTAATAATGCCATTTACTGAGGGTACTGACGTCAGTTAACAGGAGTGAATGAGAGTGAATGTAACCGAAGCGTAACAAGCTGTAGAAGCAACATTAATCTGTACCAAAGACAGAATCAATAGACATGACGCAACTTCTGTGTTCAACTTTTCAGTCGTGCGTCACGCTTCTTCTGTACAAAACTGAGTACGGATAGTTCTGCCCTTGGTAGAGTTCGAACCGTTCTTCACAGTAACCGGGAGCTGACTTTTCAGGCACGTCGAAGCCTTTGACAGCAGAAGGAAAACCACATGCCCCCCCTTTCGTTGCTTCTCCGCTGTTTGGCCGGCCACCAAATCATTGGCAGGCATCGACAAGGCAAAAGTCGATTTTGGTCAGCGTCAGAGGAGGCGAGAATGAGCAGCGCAGACCCCATTCTTTACCAAAACGGGCCGGGCATGGCAGCAGCAAAATTTATTCGAAGGATGAATGACGATTTCGGTCGGTCGATTATGGCTTTGGACCGTCACACAGTAAATGCTGGTATCCAAGAGAAAGAAAGTGCTCCGGACAACCGGAAGCGATAACAGCGCGCTTGATGGATGGAACAGCACCGAGCGTGTGGTGGACGACCGAACATGCGCTGGGTCAATGTGACAACTGTTGCCATGCGTCCGGTTTGGCGGCAGGCAAACCACGGTCAAAAGCATTGTTTGCTGTAGCGGAACAAATTGTAAACTTCAAGTTGTAGTGCAGACACTGGTGAAACGGTTTAAAAGAGGGACGTCTTTGTTTAATGTACAAAAGGTCATATTACAAATCACTGCCAGGAGGCCATAAATGCCAATCAACTGACAAACCACTGACGGACCAACGACCGCTTGCGAAACTCGCTTATGCACGAAGGCTGAGGCAAAAGGAAAACCTGCACATGTGCCACGTGCCACTGCAAAAGTGGCTCGTCAACGGAAGAGCAGCTGATAGTCTCGTCAAAGGAGACAGTAGTACGACAACTGACCAATAACGAGGCCATGAATAGCTGCAGAAGGCGCATGGATCGAGTGCTGCCTGTCCGATTGACTGAACCCAAAATGGAACCAAATTCAAAAGACAGTTGGCACGGATTTCGGATTTTTTCATTGCGCGGCAGCCGAGACAAGTCAAAAGCTTCTGTCAGAGAAACGACTGAAACCACAACCGGCCGGCTGATAGAAGAATGATGGATATGCGAGCGGCTGCTTCTAACGGTGGGTACGTTAGTCGCTTCTTGTGCTGGTTGCTAATCGCCATGGTAACATACCATTCTTCGATGGTGCTAACGATTCTTGCTGCTGTATAAGCGACAAACGAGCACATGACAGCAAGGGACACCGATTAATGATTGACGGGAGAGCACAGACGCAAAAGCAAACGGCGAGCGGTATGGCACGGTGCGACGTGTCGCGGCAACAGAAGACGCAGCCGCATTGACCAACGGTCGTAAACAAACGAGCGCGAGCATACAGTTCACAACTATTGACCATTGATGACCAGCGGTACACGACTAATTGCGCTTTACAATCGAAGCGCTTCCGCTCGCCGCGACAAATGCTATTACTGCCGATCGATGCATCTGCATGAGGGAGATGCTGATGACAGATATCGCGGCCGCAACCGCTGATTATGTGTATCAACGGTTTATCCGAGAACAACAGTTTTAACAGTGGCTGAACACGTCATCATCAAAGTGGTTACGAGACGTTCCAGTGGTCAGAAGTAGCTGGCGACATGCTTAATTCCCTTGCCTCTTTGATCGGTCATCCGAGGCACAGAGAATCATCTGCGAAGAGTGAAGTACATTAATTCCATCGTGGTTGCACTGGTAGCTGGCCATTCGACTCGTGCACAAACCCTGCTGCAGCGGTGCTGAAACGCGATCGTTTCCAAGATAGATACAGTGGAAATTCGCACTCCCATCCCGATACAGAAAAATCAATACGGAGCAGCCTTACGTTACGTCCTATGGCAAAATTTTCGGAGATCGCAAATGGATAATCTTAGCATGGATATGATTGAGTGCCGTTCACTGCCGCGTCACTAAAGCGAACCAGAATGGTTTGCGAAAGTAGGACCGCTTTCAGCACGGGGCAACGACAACTAACGTTCCTTAGTATCTGGCGTCTTTAATCAAAGCGGTAAACTCACCATATGGTCACTCAACGTCACTCTTTGCAGAGTTTACTGGCTTGCGACGCTGGTAATCTGGCGATTATAGCCTAAGCAATGTATCAAGATCCGCTGAGCCAATAAAATTCACCTCAGTGCGTAAGGGCCTGCTTTCTCAATCACTTCTGTTCATGTACATGTGTTGTTTATGAAGAAGATCATCTGCGGTCGTATTTCTGTCAACAACTTAGTATTTGACGGGAAGCACAAAGCGGCAAAAGACAGGCTGCAGCGTGTTGATAAATATTTCAAATTTGCTTTATTCTTGTACCTTTGCAGATGCAATCAGGAACCAAGCATTCGGTAGCTGATGTCTACTGTCACACTTGCCTTGAAGCAATCGACGTACGGCTATCGGCTATTCAGCACTCCTTCGCCCCTCCCCC